CCAGCATCTTCGCAGATTTTGCTGATCCCGCTCCACCACAGGGCCTAGGACCTTCTCGTGACTCGGGATTTCACCGTGAGTCCCAAGAAGATGCCCAAGTGAAGATTGAGCACGGGATCGAGATGTCGTCGGATCCAGGATCGACGACGGCATCGCTGAACGCTAGATCCGCGGATCGCCAGAGTGCCCGGAAGAACTCTGTCGACGGAAATGAGGAGGATCTGGATCCCGATCCAGATCTGGAAGAGAAACATCACCCTCTACAGGTCTCCGACATGGAGACCCCTGCGGATTCTGATTTGCGTCAAGATCAGCTAACAAAACAAACAAAGGTGAAGGCTGAACCGTATTCATTTATTGATCCGGATAAGCCGACACTATATATACCCAAGGATCCGCAAGTCTTGAGATCCGAAGTCGGAAAGCCAAGATCCAAGACTTTGCGGACCAAGATGAAGGTTCCTGAGTATGAGGAGGATAGAGATCAAGGCGGATCCAGATGGTCTGTCGAGGATCTGAAGTATTCGTATCACCGGAAGGAGTTACGCGACTTTGTATGTCAGGATCCGATGATAAAGATCCTGAAGCTGAACCGGATCGCGGAGCCAAAGAATCCAGTAACTGCCCCAGCGGTTGTAACCAACAAGCTCGACGCAGTAACGGTCCTGATCAAGCTGCTGAAGGAAGCCAGCATGATCCTCTGATCCTTCGACACGGACGATCTGTTCAACCTAGATCTAACCGTGATACAAACTACAAGCCGAGATCTCTTCGGAAAGCTGAAGGTCCTGGTTGGCGAAGTACTCCAGCGCGGGTCCGGTATCATAACCCCAGATCGACGTGGTGGACAACCTGACGGTGTCGTCACACTATGCATCTGCGGCCGAAGACGGGTTCGACACCTCATCGGAATCCCGGCGTATGTCGCTGGGACCTGCAGGTGCGGCAATGCTGGAGGTGAGATCCAAGATCCGGCGTCCAAGCCCAGCCAGATCTGGCAATCAGCTTAAAGGAGCAACACCGACTGATCAAGCCACAACCACTTCGAGCTCGGATCGGTCGGCTGGAACGCTCCAGAAGTTCTTCAACGCAGCGATGAATCGGTTCCTAGCTGTACAACAAGCGGCAGGTGCGGATCCAGTTGTTGTAGAACCTCAGAATGCCGGATCCCGAGCTGTCGACATGGAGTCGACCCGATCATCGGATCGTGGATCCAACTAGGAATATGATCCGGACGATATCGACTTCCCGGCACCCGCCCAAGCGGCTGTAGCCACTGCCGCATCTGGATCTACTGGTTCCACCATGATCCAACGGGTCCGGATCTCAGCGATCTCGGATCTTAAGGAGTTCTGAGGAAAGGATCCGGACGAGGAACGAGCACGAGCTTGGATCAACAAGGTCAAGTCGGCCTCCATGCGGGATCAAGCATCCGACGGAGAGAAATGCTTGACCTTCGCCGATCTGCTTGTGGGATCCGCGAAGAACTGGTGCTGCCAACTGAGCCGATCCACGCGTAACAAGTGGGGCGATCTGCTTCGCAGCTTCCAGACCCAGTATTGCGGACTTGGAGTATCAGTGGCGAGGCAATACTATCAAGCGCGTTACAGATCCGATGAATCGTCGTTGGACTATCTGTACCGGTTGAACATTGCCGGATTGAGAGCGCGGCTCAAGATCAAAGATGGTAGTACCAGGGATCGGCGCGAACATGTGGATCACTTCATTTATACACTGGAGGATCCGGATCTGGCGGATCGGCTGACGTTATTATGACTATCGGATGCGGACGATCTGGAGGAAGTACTTCGCGCGCAGGATAGGGCCAAAAGCCGACAGCAGAAGGCTGCGTACGGATCCGGCAAGTTCCGACAAAAGGCATCCAATGCTGTATCGTCGGCTCCCGCCAAACAAGTGCAAGCGATCCAGATCCAGGCTGCTGACTCCGGATCCGATTGTTCTGATGGATCGGATGGATCCGACTCTGAGATGGATAGTCATCGGCGGATCTAAAGAGGTCACTCCGAAGGAGGAAAGCAAGACGATCATGCCGGATCCGAGACATCAGGATCCGGGATCCATGAACCATATCCACCAGGAACACCGATCCAAGATCCAGGGAGATGGATTCAACCGTAACCGATGCTAGCACTGCAGAACCAAGAAGCATTCGAATCCCGGATGTTGGAGACACGTGACTTGTACTAAGTGCGGCAAACGGGGTCATCCGGCGGATCATTGCCTCTTTGTGTGGTGAGCTCCATTACATGGTCAAATGCTCGATGGAGGAGTTTTACAACCAGATCCGCCAATGGTTCGATCCGACCAAGCACACGGGTATGCTGCCAGAAGTTGCCGAAAAGATGTTAAACTAGGATGCTCGTCGGGGTGGAATCCGATACGAGCCGAGCGTTCTAGATATTGCATCTATGCAATTGTGCGTAAGACATCAGTAGATCGAGTTAGCAAGCAGCGAGATGTACCCGATAATACACGTGATCTGCATAGGAATCATACCTTCGCGATTTCCAGTCTTCGCCAAGCAGATGAATACGCCAGATCCGATGTGGCCAATACTGTGGATCTTCATCCAGGAGAATCCAGAGATTATTGGAAGCAAAAGGATCCGGATCTGTGGTACAAACCGGCGGATCAGGAGACTACAGCGGAGATCACGAAGCCTAGTCGGATCGCCGAGTATCGGGGATCCGGATGCACGTCAACGTCAACGTTGGATCTCCTACCTGGAGAATCCCGCGGATACTGGAAACACCTTGCTCCAGGTAAGTGGTTCCGTCAAGCCAAGATCATCCGCAAGATCCACAATGAGAAGGTGATCTTACTCCTATATACTGGTGCCGATGTGTCCATCGTGGACACCTCCTTTGCTCGTAAAGTTGGGTGCTACATCGACTCGAGTCAGATCCAAGATTGTGTAGGATTGGCGATAATGTATATCAAACGGAAGGAAGAACGTGGATCAAGGTAACTCTCGCAGGATCGTTGGTGTATTTCTTCGATATCTGGGTGGGTGATCGCTCTGGGCAGGAAGCTATTCTAGGCATGGACTTCATGGTCCCAGCCATGATCGGCCTGGATCTCTCTCACGGATCCAACAGCTTGCTCGAAGAAGTCCGGATCCAGCTTACCGGGAGGCGACAACTTTACAGCGACAAGGCCAGGATCGTTAATCTTGGGCAGTACCTGAGGGTCCAGCCAAGAGGATCGGCAGAGCTTCTCTTACCCCTGAGGACTTGGGATCACGAGAAATTCTGGATCACCCGTGGAGATCGATGGGTCCCCACGATAGCGCATGGTCCGGGGAGGATCCGATACATGAGGATCACGAACGTCGGCGACAAGGTGCTGATTCTCCATCAGGACTTGCAGATCGGGCTCTGGCTGGCGGGCGATCACGTCCCTCGGCTGCCAGGCTTCATCTCAGTGGGATCCCGGCGCTACATGGTGTGGCCAAATTTGGCCCTCGTAGCGACCGTGGATCCCCGATCTGCAGACTTGGATTCTGATGCGGAAGATCAGCCAAGGCCTGCGGTGGAGCGCCCCAAATATGAAACTCGGCGTGGAATACTGGAATGACCAAGGCCGACGGCGATCAAGTGGAGATCAAGAGGTCTCTGACCACCCGACTTTGGATAATCCGCCGGCGGACAACCCGCCGCTGGATTGTCGACCGTTGGATGTGGCGTCTGTCGCAAGTGATGTGTCGGATCTGTTGTCTATCGCAGATGACGACTCTATGTCACATGTTGTAACGGCCGTGAAGGCGTTGGACGATCAGGATCCAGACTATCAGGTATTACGACAGCGGATCTGACCCAGGTCGAAGATCCAGCCGTGGAAACGGTATTGACAGATGAAGCTCCAAGTGGTGTAACTGGTGCGGATCCACCAGGTCAGGAAGTCCAAAATCCGAAGGTGGCGACGTTGAAGGGTGATGGGTTGCACACATCATCATTGATGGGTGTAGAATCTGGGACGAGCCATAAGTTGGGTGACCCGTTGGACCATAATGACTCCACGTCTATGTCACAGAAAAGGGACGAGGATCCGGCAGCTGTTCTGGGAGATCAACCGAACACATCGGATCTGGACCTTACTTGGGCCTCGGATCAGGATTACGATGAATGTGTGTATTACCACGAAGACAGCGATCTCTACGCTGAAGATGTCGACGGACAATTGGCGGTACTGCCTCAAGTCCCAGCAACGACGGAAGATGTGGAGATCGACGATATCCAATTGTGCGGATCCGACAATCAGACGCCCGAAGAGATCGACCGACTCCGCCAGCGGATCTGGAAGTTCAGACATCTCCTGATCGGAAAAGGGAATGCACTCCCACTAGCAGCCCGATGGGTTGTGTGTGATATTGATGTGGGAGGAGCCTGGCCGATCGCACTCAAATGCCCAAAGCTACGGATCCAGTTCCGAGAGAAATTGGCAGAGTTGATCAAGGGTCTCCTGTCGCCAAGATGATCAACCACTCAAGATCTCCATGGACATCGCCGATCGTCGTGATCATCAAGAAGAATGGTGTGGATATACGATTGCGCATTGATTATCGGTTGGTTAGCAGTCTTACTCAGCTGATGGTTTAACCGATGCCGCTGATCAACGATCTACTGGAGGATTTTGAGTCTACACTATGGTATTGCTCACTGGATATGGCGAGCGGATTCTGGGTGGTGAAGATGACGGATCGGGCTCGCCTGATCTCGGTCTTTATTACCCCATTTGGACTCTTCGAGTGGAATCGGATGCCATTTGGGCTGAAGAATGCGCCGCAGATCTACCAGCGGATGATCGACAATGCCCTGTATGGGTTCACTCGGATCCCGAAAATGGCAGGTGATCTGGAGAATTTGGATGTATTCAAGGCCGGAGAACCCGAAGATCCGGCCAAACCATCGGTGTTAGGACGCAGATCCTACATCGACGATATCCTAGTGCCAGCAGATAATTGCGATCAGCGATGCGACCGAGTCGAAGATCTGTTGGATGCGTGTGACAAATGAAACATGTCGATCAACGTTGTCAAGGGTTTCTGGGGGCATGCCCAAGGTGGAATATCTCGGTCACAAGGTGTCGCACGACGAACTGGAGGCGAATCCGAAGGATCTGTCGGGCGTGCTATGCAATCCGTTTTGGACAGCCTGAATTATTACAGTCGCTTCATCGAAGATTACGCGGTTTATGCGTCTGTGCTTTATGAGTTGAGGAAGATCGGCATGGAGAAGGGCACGAATCGAAGCCGGATCCAGCTAGCGCTAGCATCGGAATCCCCGGATCCAGACCTATTGACCAAGGATCCGACGAGTCCGCAACCTTCGGATCCGAGCCCGCGGGGTCCGGATCACGGACTTAGCAATCGAGATCCGAACCTAGCATCACGGGATCCGACGCCTGATTGTGTGAAGACGTCGAACCCCGAGAATGACAAACTTGTGGATCTGGATCCCAGGTGGATCCATGCTCACAGCTCTTTCAAGGTGCTAAAAGAGATGATCGCGAAGACGCCGATCTTGCGCCACTTCGATCCGGATCGACAAGCGGTGGTGGTAGTATATGTCAGTGATTGGACGATCTCCGGTGCATTGATGCAAGAGTACGATCAGATTTACTATCCAGTGATATTCGCGAGCCGTACGTTGAAGTCCAACGAATTAAACTATGGGATCGCCGAGAATGAGGTGATAGCCTTGTTGCGGATCCTGGATCTCAACTATAATACTTTGGTTGGGAGACCGATCCGAGTGCTGACGCGTCACACCACACTGGCTTGGTTATTCACATCCAATGCAAGATCCAAATCCCGATCCCGACAGTGAGATCGGATGAGGATCTGTATGTTGCCAGCTTCGATGGATCCCCTCCGTGTCAAGCGAGGGGGAGGCGCCTACAGCGCGATCCTGTGGAAATTACCTGGTGGACCGTTGTGAAGGCCAGATCCGGCTATGCCGAGGGTCTGACTATCGATGAGGCCGAATATCACGGCCTCTTGTTATGTCTGGATTTGCTGGAAGGAACGGATCCGCTGCGTTTGGTGATCTGTGGCGACTCGAACTTGGTGATCCGCCATGTTAGAGGCGAAATTGATTGCAAGGCACCTGGATTAACGTTATTAAGACAAAAGGCGTTGGACTGATTGCGGATCCGGCCGGATCATGAATTGGTCCATGTGAAACGGGATTGGAATGGAATCACAGATAGTCTGGCTAGTGCTGCATTGCAACGGCAGTGCGGGATCGAAGTCGAAACCGAGAGCGAAGTTCAGGATCTGATCACCTTGAACAGACTGAATGTGATATGGGTGGTGAAATCCTTGAACAGACTGGATGAGATCTTGGTGGTGAAATCTGAGGATCCGGCAATGCAGATCTCGGCCGTTACTACTAGATCGAAGGCCAGATCCGGTGTGAGATCGGGATCCAATCCCTCGGTATTGTGCGAAGAAGTGATCAGAGAGCTCAGGATCGAGCGAATCCGGCAGACACAGGACGAGGAGGCGTGGATCCACAATTTGAATAAGTATCTGGTTGGTGAAATACGCGATCTGACACAGGAAGAGGCCAGACCTTGCGGATCTATCACTATGAATTATGAAGTGGACCAGCACGATCTCCTGATCTATTGTCCCACTACAAAGGAAACAGCTGCGGATCGGGACAAATTGGTGCGACTAGTGTTACCCGAAACGCTGCATCAGGATGTCCTACACCATTATCATACCAGTCTCCAAGGTGGACATCAAGGGATCGGTCGCACTTACGATCGGATCCGGGATCATTTTCACTGGAGAGGATTGTATCGAAGTGTGCAAAGATATGTCGGTGAGTGTGTGGATTGTGACACTGGAAAAGGGCGACCCCGGATCCAGGGCGAATCGCCGGGTAATCTTCAACCGACTTATCCATTCCAGATCATCGACATTGACAACGTCCCCTCATTGCCCAGATCCTATAAGGGTAATCCTGAGATGTTGATCTTCGAAGATCTCTTCTCTGGATATGTAATTGTCAAAGCGAGCGGGCGAGCGGATCCAGGACAGCTCAGACCGTGGCAGAATCCTATGAGGAATGTGTGTTTCGCAGATTTGGTGCCAGTGAGGTGATCCACCATGATCGAGAACTCGGATCTATGTCCGATTTCTTTCGTGCGTTTAATAAGATCCTGGATCAGTGTCAACGTACAACAATGGCGTATATACCCCAGGCGAACGGATTCGCCGAAAGGATGGTACAGACTACCACAAGGACACTTAAGATGTACGTTCAAGATCTGGATCAGCGAGACTGGGACGAGTATGCAGTGCGACTCACCTTCGCGATCAACACCGCTCGGGATCGGATCCGCGGAGAGACGCCCTTCTACATGGTTCATGGCTGGGATCCGAGATGGGAAGTACACGAAGACAAGATCGGGATCCGCAGAGATGCCGATATCGGATCCAGAGGCATTACCAACAGGCACGGGAGCAGGTGAACCGGCGCTTACGGGAGGGGATCGCAGATCGGGCGGATCAGCACAATGACATAGTGCGCCCACATCAGGTGGAGGTCGGATCCCGGGTGTGGTTATACTTGGATCGGGTGCGAGAGGGATATGCCAAGAAGCTTGCGCATCTGTGGCATGGCCCTTTCCGTGTGGTCGAGAAGATTGGCGAGTATGCAGTGAAACTTGAGATAGCCGGATCCGCATTCCATATCTCCCCCATAGTCCATGTGGCAAAGTTCAACCCGTCAGAGAGTTTCCGGATGGGCCGGTAATACTACTTGTGACGCAGGATCAAGATCGCCTGGATTTCGACGAAGCACTCCTTCCCGGACATAGCTGGATCCAAGTCCGCGATCCGGACGAGTATGAGGTCGAGAGGATCTCGGATATGAGGACCGGCAGGAAGACAATATACAGTCGGATCTTGCGTGAATTCCTGGTACACTGGCGGGGTACGAGGATCCGACTTGGATCGATGAGGCAGATCTCAACTGTGGAGCGATACTCCACGAATTTTTGCGGGATCGTGCCAATCAGACCCGGTTCGGCGTGATGCAATCTCACGAAGAGGCCTGAGGGTAAGATCCGCATAGGTGAGTTGGTCGCCAATGTGGGATGTTTGAGATGAAGGATCTGCAGGAAGGCTTCAGATCGGAGGAATGTAGGTACATATTTGGATATATCATAGTGTACCGAAATTTGCTAAGGGCAAGATCCGAGACACTAAGGAGACGGATCACGAAGTATGGACTCAAGTTCCGAGATAATGTGGAGCAGGATCACGAAGTGTGGACTGCAGAGATGAATGTGGCATGATCAGTGGGACGAACGAAAGAGAAACATGGAAAGATTACAGATCTGTTAGAGCAGCAGATCCAGCGTGTACTTCAGGATCGGCGGGGGGGGTGGCGCGAGTCGCGTCGGGCGCTCTCCATGCCAAAGAACTTCTCCACCAGCCGATGGATTCGATGCGCAGGGTGATCAGCCGCAGAAGTGCGGTAATGATTGCGCCAAGGATACACTCGGCGAGTGCCTCAATCAGGTTGGCCGGATCAGGTCGACCGGTGCGACGTGGTCGGAGGTGAAGATCCCATGGCATTAGCGATCTGGCCGAGTATACGCAAGGTCCGACGAAGTTCTTGTGGGAGGTCCGGCCGATCCACAGTGAGGATATCGATATCTGTGGAGAGGGCATGGATACGCGCTGTACTCTCAGTAAGAATACGCTCCCGCTGTCCATAGGTCTCTCTAGCAATGGTTACATCATGATCGTCGCATAAGAGACATGGTGAGATGATATTACGGATATACATACCAGGTCAAGATACTCACCCCGAGCAGTGACATCAACATGGAGGCGATCGCGCTCTCGAGTGACTTCCCCGAGGTTCCGCTTGGCCGCTGCGAGTTGCTTGCGCTCATGATCTTGGTCCTTGATGATAATCTGCATCTTCTGGATCAGAGATGCGACTTTGTCTTGCCGGATCTGGATCTTCCGGAGGGCGGTATCGCGCTCGATCTTGGCTTGGGTGAGCGGCCGATGGAGATTACGATCACCAGAGGTGGTGAGATCCGCGCCCATCCGCGTTATCTTGGCTCGAGAGAAGCCTCTGCACCTCCTTGGTGTTACGAAGGCGATCCTCGACTTCGAGACGGGCGATAATGCCACTCTGATGTTCGTCACGGAGATCCGAGATTTCTTCACTGGGTAGTTGAACATCGACAACTAAGCCGTCGTGGTGAGAAGCTAGATCATCACGTTCCCGGAGTAGATCATTGCGCTTCCGAGTCAACCGATCACACAGGTCGACCAAAGGAGCAACTTGGGTCACGAGAGCTGCGACTTGTGTGACGATGCAACCTGAAATTCAGGTGGCCTCCGCAGCTGCCCTGACTGGAGAGCCAGAACTGAAAGTTGGAACGAGGACCCTAGTCAACGCACATCCCGAATTGTGGAAGTACATCCCGGATGCCGCGTGCAACCCGAATGAAGCTACCAAGTATGTCCCGAATATCGCGTGCAACCCGAATGGAGATACCGAGTATGCCCCGAATATCGCTTACAACCCGAATGGACCACGTGCAACCTGAATGAAGACATTACGTGCAACCCGAATGGAATACAACCTGAATGTCGAGGTGGACTATTCAACTGATGATGTGGTGGTCCAAGATGTCCGACACGACATACGCCAGTGCCGGCAAAGGTCGAGCTGGAACGACGTCAGACTACCTAAAACATACTAAAGAGGAGATGGGGTCCGAGTGAAGAGTTGGTTGATGCTACCAATCCAAGGAGGACCGTGCGTCAACAAGTGATGAGTGTGCTCAAGCCGATCGATGATGTGACGACCCAGGTATATAAAGGCCAAGTCATCCAGGTGGTGTGTAATCACGAGGTAACAGAGACCGAAGATTTCGAACATTCAGAGATCAAGATATTACAAGAACCTGAAGATCATGAAGAATAGGCCTAAGATGAAGATGTTGATAGTTAAAGTTTAAATAAAGTTTGTTTTGCCATCTAGTGCACAAGTGGCTCGCAGAAAGCGTGTTGCTAGGGGCACCTCGTCGGAGAAGACCTGTGGGAGACAACC